TGTATGATCTGTTTTTGTTTATAATTATTCTCATTTATAGTAGCTTTCTCTTTAAAATCGCTTATTTTTTGTGCATATTTTCGCTTTATTGTTTAAGTTAGCTCTTCTTCAGTTCTACACGCGCATATGATGTATTACTTCCATTTATTATTATATTTGCATTTTGAAAACTAAATATGTTTGTTTCATTGTTTGATTTTTTATATACAGAGTCTAAATGGAATGTGTAGGTATAGGTATGTAGTATTGGGTAGATCACTCTTAAGCTGATCTGTAGGTAATCTGTGCCATTAATAAGATAATTGTTTGTGCTTATTTGTAAAACTGGTAGTATTAACCTTTGATTATAAAATACAATATTCAGAGGTATTAACATTAAATGGCATTCAAATTTCAGAATGCCCACCAACCGCTTAATACGCCCGAAAAGAACAATAATTGGGAAACTAAACGCCAACAACTAAAGGGGGAAATCAAAATTAATTCATTAGGGCCAGGGCTCAATTTTACAGCGGTTTAATTTGAACATAGATATATTAATATTAATCTATTAATTTGAATGATTATTTCTGACATCTGACGTTGGTGAAAGGAAGCCCCTCGCATTTTTACGATAACATATTTGCGATAACTTTAGTTAACATTACATTACACTTTCTCTGGTGCATGCTCTCCTGCTGCCTACATATCAATATGTACGAGTTTCTTACTGAATCTCAACATTCATGCAACAACTGATAAATTAAAAAAAAACGAAAATGAAGTGAAATACGAATTAACTTTTGGTAAAAGATACCAGGGAGCACTTAGTACTAATTCCTTTGAATTTTGTAAGTGGTTGGGACTAATTAATAACTATTAACCGTTAATTTACCAATTATTCTAAAACGCAATAAACACATTGTGGACTTGCACGTCTTCTTGACCCTCAGAAGCTTGCAAGAAGTACCCCGACCCCGAGAGCCGAGGCCTATGTTAGGGGACTGTAAGCACCTTAAAATTTCTTCTCGTTACTGGGGAGAGCTTAAAAAGCAGTGTTCGCAAATACTGAATGAAAAATTTCGAAATGTACCTCTTTGAAACGAAAGAGTAACTAAAGAGAAATGGTACCTCATTGAAAATAAAACCCTAAAAGGGTTCGAAACCATTGTAAAATGTTAAGAAACTATGAACTGCTAACCGTTTTCGAAAAGTAATGCTCAAGCTTGATGTGGATTAATGGAAATATATAACGCAATTTTGTGTCAGAGGTGACCCAAACAAATATTACCCAAATGGACCAAGCGTTCAAAATATCTTGTCAATTGAGTCATCAAAACTCCAAAGCTTGGGTATCTTTAAATTTGTTCTTTACTAAAATCCTAAAAAGTATAATTTACTTACACTGAAAAGTTAAAGAAAATACTTGATTTTACATCAGGAAAACATAGCAGTAAAGAGGTTGAGTTAAAAAAAAAATTTAACCGCTGTAGTTCACCTTCTGGGCAAGAGATGTCAGGCTAGGTAATTTAGTCAACATTTATATTCTTTATTATTTATAGCACTCTTTAGTATTATTTAGTGCTTAGTCTAAGATTTAGTGGCAGTATTGATTATAAACACCACCAGACAAAAAATACATTTAAACATATCTCGAGGAGAAGTAATTGCAGTAATTTAATACTGGCTCTTTTCCAAAGATGTCACTAGTAGTGACGAACACTCTAAATTACCGTCTCGTCTCAGATATCTCTTCGAATACCTACTTTCCTAATACAAAATCTAGCAATTTCTTCAAATCAGGTTCATGGTGATGGAGGCAATGGACTCGATTAACACGACGGTATCGACATTAGTCTCGTCTCTCGTGGGTAACTTTTATAACAAACTGAAGCATATCTTTTATTTTTAGCCAGCTATTATGGGACGTGAGTAGATAGTAATGGAACAAAAAGGTAGGAAGTATTGTTTTCAACGCGAAGACAAGATCTCAACCCTGGAAAATAATAGAATTTTTATTATCCTGACAACGCACCACGTGAAAATCACGTCATTTATAATAGGTCAATCTAATTTTGATTATGTTAGGTATCGTACATATGACGAAACAGTGACGTGCATGACATGCCCTGACGTCGTGGTATACCTATGTATTAAACCATTGAATAAAAATTGTGCTTTTATTCAATGATTATAAACAATTTAGAGCAGAGCTGGGCAGTATTCGATTTTGTAAATACTTTTTAGAATTCAAATTCTTTAAAGTATTCAAATTCTTTGTAATTAAATACTTTATGGAAGCAATATTTATATTTGTAACTCAAATACTTTCACAAATATTTAGTATTCGAATATTTCCCAAAGTATTTGGATACTTCGTAAAGTATTCGAATACTTCGCAAGGTAAGTATTTGAATACTTTGATTTTCCAAAATTTCTCGGGAAAACACTTTTTCTTATTAATTTTGGTGCGTGGAATCCAAAACAATTCGTACTTTTTCGATCAGACTTCTCAATCAAAAGTTATAGACTAGAAACCAATTTCGAAAAAAAATTCAAAGGGCTGTAACTTTTGAACTAGTAGCCCAATCTTGGAACTGTTTGAAATTATGGATTCTACAGGCCACATTCTATAAGAAAATTTTTTTTCCGGGTCGATCTGAGACAATTTTTTTTTCGCGCCCCAAAAAAAGGCAGTGTATAAACCTTCCTTTTTTACCAAAAATCGACTACACCAAAATTTCTCGGGAAAACACTTTTTCTTATTAATTTTGGTGCGTAGAATCCAAAACAATTCGTACTTTTTCGATCAGACTTCTCAATCAAAAGTTATAGACTAGAAACCAATTTCGAAAGAAAATTCAAAGGGCTGTAACTTTTGAACTAGTAACCCAATCTTGGAACTGTTTGAAATTATGGATTCTACAGGCCACATTCTATAAGAAAATACTTTTGAAAGTATTTGAATACTTATTTTTTAAAGTATTTGAATACTTTTCAATGCATCTGTATCTAGTATTCGCTTGTGCTGGACGTAAAACTATTTAATATTCAAATACCTTTGATTTGTGTAAAGTATTTACTATTTAGTATTCAAATACTTTTTGATAGTATTCTGCCCAGCTCTGGTTTAGAGAAACATTAGCATTGTATATGACATTAGTAAGTACCAAAATCTGCAGGAGAAATGTTCTGTAAATGTATTTCGTTTTATACCACAATTTAATGTCCCATACGTTTAAAAATATTATCGTTGTGTATGATGTAAAACTAACGGAAGTCATACAAATCATTGTGAAAATTCTGAATTTAATTTAAACGTCAAAAGTAGCAACCTTAGGCTCTCCTGTTGTTTCTGTGGAAACAATATTGTTTTCTGTTCCGAACTTATCATTTTATGGCAAATTTAAATTGACATTTGAATGAGATAAATCAATAGATAAGTAGATAGAATGAAATGAATTATTATGCATTCTAATGATATCTGTCATTCTTGTGAAAAATGGGACGCGGAGCACGAAACAATATTACTAAGTGACGTTTCGGAACTTTGGGGGAGTGAGAGATTTGGTTTCGTATTTTGTCGTAGATTGCCAATTTGGTAGTGAGTGAACCTATTAGTAGGTATCGTAAAATTGTTGCGGTTCTGATGGGATAATGTTTCGCAGGACACAAAATATTTTTTGATAGATTATGTTTAAAAAATATACAATTAACCCTCTAAATGCCCTCTAAAATAAATTTCCTTGTAGCCCTAAAGGTCTTTTTTTAGAAAATTCACTTTTACATGAATAGGAATTCTCGATTGCGGGGGTTGTAACTTTTGTGGTACCTTAATTCTTTATGTTTATTTGATAGGTTATGATTAAATAATTTATAATTAACCCTCTACTTACCCTTTAAATATAAATTTTGTTTCCGTTTTATACAAATGTAATTTTTTAGAAAATTCACACTAACATACATAACGATCCTTAAATAGTAGGGTTTTAATAAGCCATAGTCTTTTATTTCTTTGATAAATTGCGTGATTTACAATTAAACCTCTAATTTCTCTCTTAATAAAGATCCTTAAAGTCGCAGACGACTTCAAAACACCGAAACCCCGACCCAAGAGGAAACTGTTGAAAAACTACCATGAGGAAAGCAAATCCCTTGAGACCTTTCATTAGAGTACCATGAAGGATAAAACTAGTTCCACCTCCCCCCCCCCTCCCGCTCCAACCGGTACTTTGATAAGAGGACAGAAAAAGAAGGGCAGTAGTTGGTAGAAAACGGTTCCTTTTGTTGAGACCTTTAATTAGAATACAATGAGAGATAAAATTAATGTTTAACCCCCCCCTCAGGCCCCGTCGCTCACTGATCTCGAAAAAGACTCGCACGGGAAAGTTATAGATTGTACAAACCAATTTATTTCGATGACACCTTTCATTAGAATACCATTAAGGATAGAACATGTAGTCCCCTCCCCCCTCTCCCATTTTCTAATGTTTAACCACTAAAGGCATGCGTATGCAAAATCTGAGACCAATTGGTTGTCGTATGTAAAAGTTATGCACGTTTTACTTCCAAAAACAGCATCTGAGGAAATAATTCGTGAGGGGGGGGGGGCCTTTTAGACAGAGAAATTTGATGACCGCCTGGCACACCTTCAAGGTATAGGCTACCTACTGTAAAAAAATTCCAGGCCTCTAGGACCATTCCCCTAGAACTCCTAGAAGTAGTTCAAAACAGTAGAAGTGGGTTTGGACGGACGGACGGACAAAACGCAAACAATATTTTTTTTAATTCTTAAAAAATGCGCTAAAAATTAAATCTTACAAACACAAGTTAGAATACCATTAAGGAGTGAAACAGTTAAGCTTCTAAATTTTATATATTGGAAACACTGTTGAAGAGTTTTTGGAATTCATTTTAAATTGGAAAAATCAGTACAACAACATGGTAAATCTGACGAGGTGGCAACACAGCTGAGTGTGATATGGCAACCTCGTTTGTTTTCATTGAATTTTAAATGACAGCAGTTGTCATTCGCCATCCAAAAATAAAAATCCTTTGGCATTGGTTTTTTTATACTTTCACTGTCTGTATAAAATTATAATAAAGCTCAATATAATTATGCGTTTTATGCAAATTAGTAAGTGAGATGTTGTTTAACGGTCTGGTAAAGACGTTGTCATGATCGTTTCACGCGTTTCCAACAATTCTACACTGGTTTCAAGCATATTCCGTCGATTATCATTATCAAGTGGCGATTTGCGCGTTTCGACCAATTCAAATTTGCATGTATGCAAAACGCCAATTTGTTGTCAAAAAACCGTTGAAGCGACATTTAGAAATAGGTAAGCAAGAGTTGAGCAATGCTTGCTTCGCTTTTCCACAATCTGAGGTTTCGGTTGCTTTCATTCTCGCCAAAGTTTTGTGCTGATCGCCTTTCTTGCAGATCCCTTCTGGGAGGTCAGAGTTTAATCCCCGTACGTAAAATGTCAGAGGCCAGCTGCTCGAAGAAGAAAAAGAATCGATTGGCCCTCGAGAAGTCGCCTTACTTGCTTCAACATGCTACCAATCCGGTCGATTGGTACCCGTGGGGGCAGGAGGCGTTCGATAAGGCCAAGAAGGAGAATAAGCTCATATTCTTATCGGTCGGCTACTCCACCTGCCACTGGTAATGTACGCAAATGAAAAACCTTCCTTTACATTCGACCTTGCAGGTGTCACGTCATGGAAAAGGAGTCCTTCGAAAGCGAATCCGTTGCAGAAATTATGAATAAGTACTTTGTCAATATCAAGGTGGACAGAGAGGAGCGGCCCGATGTAGATCGCCTATACATGTCATTTGTACAAGCATCGACCGGAAGTGGGGGATGGCCAATGTCTGTCTTTCTGACACCTGATCTAGAACCGCTCGCCGGTGGTACCTATTTTCCACCCGACGACATGTACGGGCGACCCGGTTTTAAAACAGTGTTAAAAAGCATTGCCGAACAGTGGAAGACAAAACAAACCGCTATTGCTAACTCGGGTAAGTCTTTTATTAACTTTTGACCTTTACTCTCTGCTTCCTTATCAATCGTTTTTCAGTTAGATATCGTTGATATACAGGGTCCCATCATTTTAAAAATAGGATTCTTGGTGTGTTGGACGCATTTCACTTCGTTTGTTTCACATTTTTTTAGTCCAGAGATAAAAAATCTGATGATAGTCGTGCGGTGCGGCCTCAATTACTCCATAAGAATGAATCATACTCCAAAATATCATTCACCTTAGATAACTGTTGGCTGATTAAATGCATGTCATGCGTGCACTGCATGCTTCTTAGACAACAGTGTAATAAGTTGTATACAGGGTGTCTATTATTTCATGGAGCTTTTTTTAAAACAACTGCAAACTGTAAACAATCGAAGGCAAGATGACAGTCTGTGTTTTATGAAGTAGGGATAAGAAACTTTCTTCCCATCAGTATTGTAGATATGATTGGTTGAGTTTTTGGGAGACTACCACAGATAGAAAATGAAGGTCAGCTCAGGAAAATGACTTGGCTCCTGATTCCTCATGTTTTTCTGAATTTTTTAGGCGCTGAATTCTATTTTGCACTAACTGAAGCTCGAATTTTTCCAGAAAAATTTGCTATATCCAATTTTTTGCAAACTTATTAATGATAATGCAAAAAACAAGGACAGTTACAGTCATTTCGAACTTTTCCATATCAGCGAATAGGTGAAGGTAGCAGGAATTTTTGTCTTCTAATGAAAATTGATATATTATCCCGTTAAGCACTTGTTTTGTGCTACCAGAAGGTTTTTGGGTATTTTCTGTAATAGGAAAGTTAATTTTCACTCTGTATAATATGGTATGGTTCAAGTTTTAGGAGTAAGAGACCGCAAAGGGACTGCGTAAACCCCACACCTTTAATTTTAAATATAGGCGCTATGTTTTCCTTCATTAGAAGCACATGTGAATAAAATTTGAAGAAAGTATCTCCAAAAATAAGAAAGTTATTTCTCGGTAATGTATTTTCTGAAAATATTTCAGTGGTATTTTGGGTCTTACTGGTTTTAGCCCATTTTTCAAGAATGAAAATATTTAACGCATTTTTCAAAAGTGAAAATGGGCTTGGGTTTGTCCGTTCCGTTTGTTCCTATCAAGGAACCCGAAAGTTACAAATGTATCGAGAAAAAATTTTTCCCAACTGGTTGATTGAGCACAAACTTCATTTATGCACCAATTTCGTTGGGAAAATGGCCATGAAGAAGATCTTAAATACTTCCATCTTCCTGATGATGAGATAAAGTATATACAAAAACGCTAAGCGTCGTTATCAGTCGATCGCTAGCATTCTCTATGACTTGTACCTTAGTAGTTTTTATTCTGTAATATAAAAAGTTGTTATTAGGACATTGTTTTTGTTGTTGATTTTTGTTTGTTTTGTGAAATAGATTAAATAATCATTTTAAGCTTTGTGACAACTTCAATGACTGAGTAGAGTATGATTATTCTCAGAGGTGACCTCTCTTCAGTTCCCTGTATCTTAGGCCTATGGTATCCTGTAGTTTTATTTGTACTCCTTTAAGATATCAATATTTTGAAAGAAATTTATTATCCTGAGATCAGCACTTGGAGCATTTCTGGGTGCATCTTCTATAAAAGATATCTGTCTAACTTTTTCGGGCTAGTCAGTCAGCCTTAATGGCAGTAGGTACTAGGGAATGCAAACCCGCAGCAAAATTTAGATTTCGGTATTTGCGGGATCATTAGATAGTTCTCTATTGGGTTTAATTCTAAGTTCTCTTTTTGAATATTTACATACAGTACACTTTTATTTTCATATATGTACACTGCATTTATTTAGTATACAAGTATATTGTCCTGTTATTGGAAAATATTCTGTTGAACAATAAATTATTATTATTATTATGGTCGGTGTTTCTCTTGTCAGATCTCAGGTCTAGCCTGGCCTGGCTAACTAATCGCACGGATTAAAATCAAGTATCGATTAGTATTTGTGTCTGTACGTCGCTCGTCTGGTCAAGTTATGTCCGGTCCTAAAAAAGAAAAAAAAATTATTATTATTATTATAGTAATCCCCAAAATTTTAAAAACATTCGGAAATAAGCAATTTTGTGCAGTAACAGAATATTCTCAAGAAAACACATTCTATTTATCGGAAAGAATGCATCAGATCTGCCGTCTTTTTCTTGTCGCCGGTGAGTAATCTTTTATGGCCCCTCCATGTCTATTTGGATTTCTAGAATATTCGCTGCAATATTTCCATACAGCCACTTTACTACTAGTCTTTTATAAACAATCGACGAGTCCGACATATTGCCTACAAGGATAAGAGTTCCTGCGTTTTAAAACAGTAGCAAAATAAGTCCGATTTGCGCACTCACTCGCTGTTTAACAAAGTTTTTAACAGATACAGGATTGCGCGTAATTATTGCATGAACTGCAACAACAAAAATGTGCGAAATAATCAAATTCGCAGAGTTGCTAATGTATGGTGGTAAGTTTGGTGAATAAATTCTGCAATTCCGCGGGATCCCGCTCCATTAACGTACGGGATTAATCCCGCAAAAAGGCTGCGGAATCCCGGTATTTCGCGATCCCGGTATTGCACTCCCTAGGCAGTACATATGCCTGAAAACCCACTAGCACTATACTGTAGTCAATAAATTTCGCGCTTGTAAAAAGTGACGAACGTTCTTGGTCAGTAGTAACACTATGACAACCTGAACAAGTCGGTTATCTTCAAAATTTTCCCCCGTCTCCAATTGCAAGGCGACTTCAAAGCAGCAACCGATAGTGCATTCGAAACATGAGCCAGTAATATATACCCAGGCATATAAGTGCTAAAAATGGGGTCTAGCCCCTAAAAATTGCTCGAGAGCTGGAAATAGTTTTTACCCCTTTAAGGGGTCCTGAATAACGAGTATATGAATTTGCGACGGTTTCTAGGTTGGGCGAGAGATTTGAGAGCCTAAAAAGCGGAAAATTTTTGCACTTTTTTGAACATTTCTCTTATAACGAAAAGTATTTATCATACAGAAAATTTTATTCTCTTCTTTTCTAAAGAAAAGAATTAAATTGTGGCGTTTGAAACATTGAAATAAGTTTAGCCCAGAGACATGGTTAGTCGTTCAGCCGCAATCACCCGTCAAAGATGGGCCATTTTTACAAACTAAGCTCAAAAATTGACAACCCTCAAGTTCTAACGCCTGTAGGTCGAAAAGGACTGCTATCGTAGGTTCAAACTTGTAGATGCTGTAATTGTGAATCCGATGCTTTTTGAAATTTGGAATTCGCTCACTACAGTGCTGAGATACGCATTTTAAACCGAAAGAGTCCTTAGCGCCAAATTTCCGGTAAGGCAGTCCAACGCAAGAAACTTCGTCTGAACTCAAAACTTCTCACTTTCTTGCACTTTCGAGCGAAGCGGGGTGCTGCCGCTCTCTCTTCGACTTCACTGATTCTGTGTAGTAGGATCCAGGTCTTAATGCGCTCTGACTCTTCTTTGGTAAGCATAATCTCCGGGTTTTGTCAATAAAGGCCATCTGGAAACTTGTAGCAGCCGCAGTGCTGAAAGTCTTGGCTTTGGTTCTGCACGGGCTCAAATTTTGAAGACGTTTTAGCCGCCTTTTATCCTCTCAGTTCAGTGTTTTACCATTCCTTTTGTTATTCATTCTAAAATTTTGGTATGTGGTTCCTTACCATAGTACTGGTATGCTGTAGAGGGTTATCCTAAATGATCATACCTTAATCAATGATTAAGGGAGTCCGTGAAGTTAGCAGCACATTGAAGGCACAAATGTCGAGACTAGGTGGGTTGGTTAGTGCTTCGTTTGTGCCGGTTTGTGCCGTAAAAAGTTTTCCAGCAAAACATACGGTTTGGAAATTATTTCGACTTTTAGAGGTTCTGCTAATAGGCCAGTCATTGAGGATTTTTACCTGGAAATAACTCGGGAAGTACAGAAATTTTGTATGCTTGAGTGCGTAGAACTAAAATTCATAAAATGCACAATTCTAAACTTGCCGCCCGGGCCGCCATCTTACCAAGATGGCCGTCAAAAGCGGTTTCCCGCCGATATCTCCAAAACTGTGCATTTTACGAGAAAATATGTGGTGAGCAAAATTAAAGAGACGAAAATTTCCTACAAAAAATGTAGTTAGCATATTTCCACTAAAGTTAGCCCTTGCGCAGAAAAGCAGAAATTTTTAATAACCAATGGCGTGTATTTTATTAAAATAATTCATTAATCATTTAATTAATTAATCAAATTGATTAATCATTAGTCTATGATCAATTAATTTTAAGTAACATTAGATTCTCTATTTACGCAGGCCTGACGGACCTGGCGGTTCGTTAATGTCACTGTTTTCATTGCCGAATACGTTTATCCCTATTTCGGGATCAACGTTGGCTTCTTTGAATTCGTCAGATTCTCCTTGAGTCGATAAAGGAATATCGATACATATTCCACAAATTACGTTTGTGCCGGTTTGTGCTGTATCGCCAGGAAAATATTTTCCTGGAAGAAGTTATTTCGATTTTTAGATGTCTGTAGATGTTTGCTATAACTTCGCACACTTTTGTCCGCATAAATTTCGAGACTAGATGGATTGGTTAGTGCTACGTTTGTGCCGGTTTGTGGGTTAAAAAGTTTGCCAGCAAAGCATTGCCTTTGAAGGTTATCTCAATTTTTAGATGTTCTGGAAACCTTGTACACTTTTGTCGCTATACTGTTGAAACTAAGCACGTTTTTAATTGGATTGGATTTACTTCTCATACATCGCTTCGCCTTTTATTGGGCGAAGTATCTAATCGATTTGGCAATTAACTACATGGCTGTTCAATTTGATTTACCGTTAAAATTTCACAAAAATTGGTCAACAAATAAGAAATTTACTTTTGCACATGCGCGAAAGAAGCTTTTGATATGTTTGAAATAATCGATCGATTTGCCTTTAGTAAAGGATGCTAATGTTAAAATTTCAGTAAGATCGGTCCATAAGTAACAAAGTTACTTTTGCGCATGTGCAGAAGATTACGGCCTACCAGTTTGGAAATTAATGGGTGCCTTCTCCACACGGCAAGGTTTGAAAAAATGTACGCAATTTGTCCCATTCAATTTTGAGTTATCGTGCTAATTATAATTACAACTCGGACAACGACAACGGACTTTTTTTCTGTGATGAAAACAATACTTAACTTACCCATATATGGGTGCGGAAAAGTAATATCATAGATGATATATGCGATTTATATACACTTTATATACTACTTTAAACCACAGTAGGCGATGTGAATCAAAAGCTGATCTAGAAACTAAACTGTGTTGACATTGTAACTGGAAACATTTTAACAGACAGAGTCTGGCACAAGAAAGTAAATAAAAAAATTATAGAAACTTGAGAACGAAATAAAAGATTATTTTTCATAGCCTACTGACTTAAAGTAATAAAGTTTTAAAAAATCGCATAGAAAAAACAGTATCATTCATGGTGTGTTATATTTTTATCAGGCCGTGTGGCTCAATTCAGTTTAGGCTGGAGTGCGGTACTATGGGTCCCTGGTCAGAATCGGCGTTCGGGCATAGATATTTGTAAATGTATAGTGGGTTGGGTTGGTAGTAGAGCGACCTTGGATGAAACCCCGCCCACTCAAAAATAAAAGCAAAAATAAAATAAAAATAAAATATTTAATATGCTACCTTTTTAGATTAAAATATACAAGATGTTCCACAAAACACACGAGATTAGGTCCGATATTATTCACCCGACTCCATACACTTATCTTTGTATATACAACGGCAGAACTTAGGGATTCTTATCTACCTATTTCATGTAGTGCAATCGGATTTAGCAGATTTGGACTTATATAACAGTTATCCCCTGAGTTCTTTACCATTTGGAGACCCAATCTCACGAATGACTAAGTACACCACAGACAGATGCTAATTGTAACTTCAATTATTTTACATTTGGTACAACACGCCGCGAAAGGCTGTCATTGAAAAAACGAAGCTAACACACACGTTCTTCTCCAACACAAGGATGATCTTATATAAACAAACCATCTGCAAATATATGGCATACAATTGTCAACAAATTAGACAATAAAGTGTCATCAAAAGCACACTACACTTGTGTGAAAGCTATAATACTTATTAAAAACGTGCTGGGAGTTTTCACACATTCCCTTTTTTGGTCAAACTTTTTACTATACATTCCGGCACAAAGATAGCATTAACCCATGCGTGACATTAACATTATACTTAGTTTCAACAGTATAGCGACAAAAGTGTACAAGGTTTCCAGAACATCTAAAAATTGAGATAACCTTCAAAGGCAATGCTTTGCTGGCAAACTTTTTACCCCACAAACCGGCACAAACGTAGCACTAACCAATCCATCTAGTCTCGAAATTTATGCCGACAAAAGTGTGCGAAGTTATAGCAAACATCTACAGACATCTAAAAATCGAAATAACTTCTTCCAGGAAAATATTTTCCTGGCGATACAGCACAAACCGGCACAAACGTAATTTGTGGAATATGTATCGATATTCCTTTATCGACTGAAGAAGGAGAATCCGACGAATTCAAAGAAGCCAACGTTGATCCCGAAATAGGGATAAACGTATTCGGCAATGAAAACAGTGACATTAACGAACCGCCAGGTCCGTCAGGCCTGCGTAAATAGAGAATCTAATGTTACTTAAAATTAATTGATCATAGACTAATGATTAATCAATTTGATTAATTAATTAAATGATTAATGAATTATTTTAATAAAATACACGCCATTGGTTATTAAAAATTTCTGCTTTTCTGCGCAAGGGCTAACTTTAGTGGAAATATGCTAACTACATTTTTTGTAGGAAATTTTCGTCTCTTTAATTTTGCTCACCACATATTTTCTCGTAAAATGCACAGTTTTGGAGATATCGGCGGAAAACCGCTTTTGACGGCCATCTTGGTAAGATGGCGGCCCCGGCGGCAAGTTTAGAATTGTGCATTTTATGAATTTTAGTTCTACGCACTCAAGCATACAAAATTTCTGTACTTCCCGAGTTATTTCCAGGTAAAAATCCTCAATGACTGGCCTATTAGCAGAACCTCTAAAAGTCGAAATAATTTCCAAACCGTATGTTTTGCTGGCAAACTTTTTACGGCACAAACCGGCACAAATGAAGCACTAACCAATCCACCCAGTCCCGAGATTTGTGCCGACAAAAGTGTGCGAAGTTAGCAGCACATCTAAAAATCGAAATAATTTCCAAACGGTATGTTTTGCTGGCAAACTTTTTACGGCACAAACCGGCACAAACGAAGCACTAACCAACCCACCTAGTCTCGACATTTGTGCCTTCAATGTGCTGCTAACTTCACGGACCCTGATTAAGGTACGATCATTTAGGATAACATTAGGATATATGATTAATAATCATATATTTTTATTAGTAACTTGAGACTACTTGGGCAAGTTAATGTAGGTTATACGATCCTTCATAATAATATTACATAAATTAATTCATAGGTGGCGCTGCAAAGAATCAGGGCATTTTTTATAAGTAAGAATAAGAAATGGTTTCATAATCAAACACTTCTAAATAAATAAGCAATATCAAGGTGGCGCAGCATAACTTTGTTCTTGTTACAGGAAAGCACACGTTGGAAGTATTGAAAAAAGTGTCAGAGCGTGAATTATCGTCCACTCAACAAATCGAAGTGCCCTCGTCCGAAGCCGGCGCCAAATGCATCCAGCAACTTACTCGATCGTACGAAAGCGAATACGGCGGCTTTTCGCGCGCGCCCAAATTTCCGCAGCCCTGCAACTTTAACTTCCTGTTTCACGTTTATACGCGCAACAAGGAGTCGGAGCAGGGCAAGCACGTGCTGGAAATGTGTCTGCACACACTTAAAAAGATGGCGTACGGTGGCATACACGACCACGTCAACTGCGGATTCGCGCGGTACTCGGTTGACAAAAAGTGGCACGTGCCACATTTTGAAAAGATGCTCTACGACCAAGGGCAGTTGGTCGTTTCGTACTCTGACGCTTACGTCGTGACGAAAGATAAGTTTTACGCCGACGTTGTCGATGACATACTGACGTACGTGTCGAGGGACTTAAGTCACCCTCTGGGCGGATTCTATGGAGCGGAAGATGCCGATTCGTATCCGACCGTCGGCGCTAAGCACAAGGAGGAGGGCGCCTTCTGCGTTTGGGAATTTGGCGAAATTCAATCTTTAATCAAATCCGATAAGGATTTCGAAATTCTTTGTTACCATTACAACGTAAATCCCGAGGGTAACGTAAATCCGGCGCAAGATCCCCACGGCGAACTGAAACGGAAGAACGTTCTAATGGTGTCAGGTTCTTTCGAAACTACGGCCGAACGATTTAACATAACTATACCTGAGCTGAGAGAACTTTTGGATAGATGCCACAAGGTACTGTACGACGAGAGGCAAAAGCGGCCCAAGCCACACGTTGACACAAAAATCGTGACTTCATGGAACGGCCTTATGATTTCCGGTTTTGCAAGGGCCGGATTCGTGCTCAAGAATCAAAGTTACATCAACAAGGCGATTTTGGCGGCCAATTTTATTAGGAAGTATTTATACAACGAAGCTGAAAAGACGCTGATCAGGTGCTGTTACAAAGGGGACGAGGGGGAGATTGCTCAGATGTAAGCTCCACCAACCGTTTTTTTTCATTGGTGCTCATTTCACTATTACAGATCGACTCCGATCGATGGATTTCTTGACGATTACGCGTTTTTGATTCGCGGACTTTTGGACTTGTACGAGGCGTCATTGGATTCGGATTGGTTGCAGTGGGCGGAAACGTTGCAGGAGCAACAGGATCGACTGTTTTGGGATTCAGAGGGTTTCGGGTATTTCACCAGTCCCGAGGGAGATCCTAGTATCTTGATTAGGGGAAAGGAGGGTGAGTATAAACCATGTTCGGTGCGTTTAAAGAGCGTCATTGTACCACATGTGTCTGGTGTACAACACTTCGACACGATGTTATTTCTTTTGGTCGTAAGCATATTCTGACAACCGCTTCAGGAAAGATGTTTATAAGTAGTCATGATGGAGGTGATGACGACCTGTTGTAAATGAGTCATAACAATATCAGATGTTGTAGACGTATTGAGTTATCCTTGATCTCTAGATTTTATTTTTGTTGTTTGTTTTGCTACTTAGCTTTTACCAGGTCGTTCTACTGACTTGATGAGGACAACGGTACAGACAGGTAAGAATGTGTAATAACCCAGGTCCAAATTTAAATAAAAGTTGCCCTCCCAACCGAGAGTAGCTCTAGGGTCTTCATGGACATAGTTTCCATTCAAATAAAATTACAATTAAAATAGAGTAAAAAATATCGGCTTTAAACTGAACAAGAACAAAGCAATCAAAGGGTTATTCATTAAGACCATTTGAAACTTCTTACAAGGCGTTCTTTCGCCTGACCAACAGTTTTGAACTACCAAGGAAGCCTGATCCCCTTTTACTTTGGCTCGTACACCAATCTTTCAACAAATGCATCATCAATTCATACAAGAGTAAGGAATACAAGAACAAATTCAACATAATATAATACGGCCCCACATAAAACAAACAAAATCTGATGGCTCATCACACAAGTTGATAATAAAATCGTTATTGAATTTCAAACTCATCTTCCTGTGAGTTTCAAATATAAAATGCTACACGTGGAAAATTTCTACAATATAGGTATCGAAACTTCTCTAATCAATCTTTTTGAATTTTTAGAGATTGTCAAGTGTGACTGACCAAGGTAAGTAGGCGCAATAAATCTTATGGTCTTTTGTTTTTAATTAATGGGTTGTGTGTTTTATTAGTTCATAACCCAGCAGGTCAATTAGTGAAGTGTATTGCTTTTGATCACCTCTCAAAGATTACTAGATAAGAATACCTACATCGAAAATGACCCCACTGTAAATGTAGGTAACTATTAATGTAGGCCAGTCATATTATACAAAGATACCTGGAAATAATTCCCCAAAACGGCAAGCTTTGCGTGAGTGTAGTGCTAGCAGCCAGTAACAACATATCATTAATCAACATCCGTGGAAGCTGTGCACGGCCGCCATCTTGGAATATTGCATGATTCTCTTAGGCGCAGGTGGAAGGGTGCTTGTTATCGGGTCAACCAAATTCCATTCCCACTGAGACGGATCTAAATCATTTCCAAGCCATTTTTAAACTTGGTGATACACACGGAAGGAAGCAGCAGCTGATGTTGGGGGTAGAGTGGCCAATTCAAAATTTGCTTGCAGCTTCTTGGTGGTACATGTAAAATCTGTGCTCATCGAATGTTTTATTGTGTGGTTTTTGTGCAAAAATGTTTCTTGTATTTCTGACGCTTCGTGAAATATGGCGAAAAAGTGCACAAGTGTTGATTTTTTATACATGGTGCCACTATGTATGGATAATCGTGCGATTTAAAAATTCAGCATCATACTGGCAATGGAAGTTAAATTGTGAACATACCACGTAACTGACAATTCGCTTAATTAGATATTAGACACGTCACGATTCCCCATTAACGCGCACATCGCGGGAGTAACTATGAATCTCTTCTGAGATAACCAGTGGTAATGTGGTGGGGGTTATGAGAGTGGTGTAAACGTCCTTGAGCGTCTAGACAGGTGGAAAACGTGCGTTTGCTGTAAAGGCGCATTACAAAAACGCGGATAGGGTGGTTAGTGTCCAGCGCGTTTTCCACCACGGGATCACGTTTCATCAAGGGAAGCCGTCTTCCTTTGGGCGAATGACTTCGAAGCCACTTCTGGGGGAGTGACAAAAATTGGGACCCCTGAAAACATTGATCGTGTGCGCGAAGCATTAGGATGTGGTTCGCGTAAATCATCGAGACGCCACAGCGCAGAACTTGGTCTCAGGAATAACATTAACTTCCACTCATGTTTTAAGATTCATGTTAATATCCTTTTTTTTAAATAAATTATTGGTGATTTTTCAAAATCGTGCCGTTTCACTGCCTCATCCTGTATATATTTCATCTGGTAGTCTTATTGAACTGTGTACTATATATGGGATTACTAAATTCCGGAAGGGGACGCCGGATTTTCCATCCGTTCAAAAATTAAAACTTCTTTGACTAATTACTCGGTCCCTGGGACCGGTCTTAAACATCTTGATAAATTAGCGCGCTTCCAATGATACTAAACACAACCTAATCAGGCGAGGTCTGCATGGCCTTGCAGTTTTAATGTTCATTTAATTGCATCTTGGTTCCCTTCTCGCCAGCTAAGCGACACTGCAAACTAAATCACTTTCTTCTACCTTCCATATCCAACTCCATGTACGTACTTGGTGTTCATTAATTCTGGTAGAAATCATAGTTTTCCTGAAGCTGATTCATTAAGGTTCTAAAATTGAATTTTTGGATTTTTTAAATCGATTGTTTAGTTCCATCTGCACAGAAACATTTGCCTCTGTAACATATTTGCAGGGATTGCATTATAGAACCTGATTGAAAAGTTTATTGATAAAATTTCACAGCAATTTTATTGGGTAAAACTATTATAGATATTGCATAATTTGTTCCTCACATTTTGTCTTTGTACAACAAACATTTACGGAGCGATGCTTTCATGATCGCCATCAACAATATGCCAAATACGTTCGTGCTCTCCAGATGGCGCAGACAGTTTTCCCTCCTAAACATTGCGTGGTTGCGAACTTTCAAAAATGTATGTATCCTCGTAAGTTGTGTGTACAGGATGGAACATCTCAATTACAATTCCAAAAATCGTTAACTGTTTTTAATACAATTTCAGATTTAGAAACGAGGTAGAATTATTTTTCTGGATTATTTTGTCGCAGAAAATTCTGTCGTTTCTTTTTTGGGGAGGGTTTAGAGGTTCATTTTACGTAGGGGTTCGAATAATTGATTGATTGAATGATTCTTCAATGGCGCATTTGTTTTTGTAGATCTGTTACTCATCTGTCAGCGGTTAGGCAATGCGAGTCAACGCGAGATCTATCCTTAGTACCCTTGTGTGTGCCGAAATCATCCTGTAACGCGCTTTTTAACGAAAATGCGGGTAGTTCCGTTAATATTGAACAGAAACAGCGTGTTTTGAGCAATGTGAGGTGACTACGGATCGCTCACCGCCACTTATTTATTGACGAATGTCCCTGTTAACTAATTTAGACTCACGTACATGGGCTCGTTTGATAATTAAGGCTTTCTTGTTCGACTAAATATCATTCGAAACGTGTAGCTTTGTTTTTATGTATGTGTGCTTTTACTGTGATTAAACAAGTTCTCTTGGGAAAAGTCGGCTCTTGAAACATTTAAGTTTGATGCGTTTTCTAGATTTTGTTAAAGAACTCGCTGGAAGTATGGAGGAAGAAAGAGGGCGCCGTTTGCATTACGAGGGGCTTTTAAATTTCTAATTTATTACTCGCGTTTACGCGCTTAGCAGATTTAGGATATTACTTTTGATTTATGTACAATTGAATGTAGTCGGAGTAATATAACGAGTAGGCATAGATTTTTGGGATTTTGCTTCCTTAGTATTCATTTTCATTTTCCGTTTCATTAATCACTCGCGATTAGGGTTGAACAGGTGCTTTGTGTCTGCAATAATTACATATCGACAGCAAAAGCTTGCTTTTCCGTCTATAGTACCACTGCTTTGTATTGATCAGGACTGTAGTGGCTCTCCAGACCTTCTCCAGCTGCGGTTACTTCTAGTCGTGTAGTGCGAATGTTACATCGGTGATTGTGAATGTTCGCTTGAAAATAATTCAATAGAGGTTTTGAACGTTAAGGGTAGTTTCAATTGAATGAATAATATTAGACTTATTATTAAAACGATGTCTATATTGCTGTGTGCAATGGCGTTCGGTCAACTACACCACCCATACGACACCTGTCCTAGCTCAAACAAATCAAAATTGTTATAATTTCTCCTAGCACACTCCCGGAAGAAGTCTCAATATTGACTTAAAATAATAATTTGGGACTCAGTGGCCTCGATCAACTTCCGAAAATTCCAAATAAATCTTGAATACGAAAACAAAAACTGACATGCACACGATCCGGATCACATAATTGTTTTGAATTAACAATTAATTGCCAATGACAATGACAAAAAATTATTCCGAAACTCATTAAATGAGAATCAAAACAATATTCGTGAAAGAAAGAGAAGCGTGCAAAGCTTGTTTACAAATTACCCCGCACACTGGTGTTCGATAATTAAAAATAAATCATTTTTTTCCCTTAATAATCCTAATAATCTGATCGTTCAAACGTTTGATAAACAAGGCACACTTAACTCCACTCACAAACCCTGCCAGCTTCTGAACTTAATATGTTATTAAGATTGCTCAACTTAATAATAATAATAATAATAATAATTTATTGCCATCATAATTCATAGAAAAAATAATGAACATCGGCATTGTCAATACATAAAACAGAAACATTAACTAATAATAGTAGTCAACTAATTTATACAATGACATAGAGATCAAGTATCGTTTAACAGCTTGTTTAAATTGAGTTTTAGGCACAATAGATCTTATTTCAGGTGGTAATGAATTAAAAGCTTTTATGCATGAATAGTATGGCCCTTTTTCATATTGCGCCGTTCTGTGTAAAGGAATTCTCAAATCATTACAATTACGTGTCGTCATCAAATTGTATTTAGATGAGTTTTTTTGTGAAAAGATTTATGTTGTTTTTCACAAACATAACAAGAGAATAAATATACAAGGATGGAACCGTCATTATGTTAAGTTGTGAAAAATAATTTTTGCCGAGGTAGTCGGCGATACACCTACAATACATCTAATAATTTGTTTTTGAGATACAAAGATTTCCTTCAAATGAGAGCTTGAGCCCCAAAACATAATACCGTAGAGAAGGAGAGACTGAACTTTAGCAAAGTAAAACATTCGTATCGTATCAATAGAACAACATATTGAGCATAATTTCTTTCGCAGCTGAATGCAATAACTACTCCACTTCAAACGGTTATCCAATGTCACACCAAGGAACATTAGTTCTT